TAAAAATAAAATTTCTATGAACAGAAAGACTTTATCCAGCTATTGATTATAGTATCCCCAGCACATAGGACAGTGTCAGTTCCATGGTAAATCCCACGATGAACTGTTGACTCAGTTAATGAATTACAATATCCCAGTGCAACTATGATTCAGAGAAAGTAATTTTTACAAGTATCTTATAAATCTTATTTGTTTACTATTAACTAAAATGTATATATTCCCCTCACATTGTCTCCTTTATAGTTAGATGTGGCTAAATGACAGAATCCTGGCTGATGAAAAGTCATGTGTGCCATTTGGGGGACACGATTTATAAAAGAAGGAAGACCTCCTCCACACTCACTTTTCCTCCTGCTAGTTTAGAGCAGATAAGGGCAGAGAATTTTAGCCCCTAGAGGCTTGCGGACAGAGTTCAGGGGGTTCATGAACTTAGGAAGGAGAAAATTGTATCTTTTAACTAGGCTTCAACTGAAAGTTAGCATTTCTCTCACTTTTGATGGCAATAAAAAAATCCCAATAGCATTAGTAATACTTATGACTTGGTTGCCAGCTGAAATCACAGTATTTCATATCACATTTCTGCTGCTACAGATATCTCAAAATATAGTTTTCCTTTATCACTACTTCAGAATTATGGTAGTTATTAGAATTTTGCTGCTAGATTTAGTTAATGTCAATTAAAAATCACATATACTTAGTCATAAATTCCATTTTATATACATTTTGATAAATCTATGTCAACACAATCGCTATCCTTTACAATCCTACATATTTCATGTATTTAAAAATATCATCCTTTAAAAAGGATCGTTAGGCTTGACCAGAGTGACAGATGGGTCCTTGGCACAAAAGCAAAAAAATAAAATATAAAATAAAACAAAACAAAACAAAATAAAATAAAGAACTCTGTCTCTGAATTGGCAGAGTCATGAGATGAAAGGAACTTGGGTCCCTGAATTACCACAAGAAGAAAACTGCCTGCTGAAAAGTAGCCCCTTCCTTGAACTAGTAAGCATATGAGAAATAAATATGTATCATTTTTGATCCTTATATATGTTGAATGGTAGTTGTTAACACAATCTTACCAAAACTAATGCTACAATATTTTTTCAGTCTTCCATTCCTATTCAATAATCCACTATAAATAAGAAAGAATCAGGAAATAACAAACATGTCCTAAAATATTATATAGAATAAGCAGCAGAAAAAAGGGAAAATATATAAGTATTCTAGCTCTTCAAGGCTATTTGACTTAGGCCTGATTTACTACGATTCCATTTGTATAATAAGCTTGCTTTTAATTAATAACAGTTTTCTTAATATCAAGTCTCTGAAAACTTTGCTTATTACTTCTCATTCATAGTTAGAACGAAGGATTTTATTTTTGTCTTAAGAAACAAAGAAAGTTTCTCTTTGCTTCATGATTGGAAACAGCTTTGCCGCTCGGTGACATGTAATCCAAATTTTGGTTTTAATATTTTTTGCTGATATTAAAATTGAAAATATAATGGGATAGTGTCCATAGTGTCAAAATTGTATATCCTTTCATATCCTTTTCTTCTGTATCATTAAGCTAGCTAAAGCATTTTTAGTTCTCATCTTGTCTTGAATGTTTTTAATTGGCCACATTTTCAAAACAAAAACAAAAACAAAAACAGATGTGATTCATTTTGGACAAGATTTAAACATATAAATTTCACATGAGTTTACAGGCCATTAAAGTCATGAAGAAGCATTTTATGACTTATAAACACAACCCATTCTGGGAGAGTGACCAGTTAAGGTGATAAGGGCAAGAGAAATATCTGAGAGCATTTAAGGTGAACTATTCTTGACCGAACTGTAAACTAAATTCACATTTATTTCACATTGTTATAAAATTGCTTTTTAAAACTTAAAACAGCAAAATTTGTTGTTATACTCTCTCTTTCTGCAGCCTCCTCTGTAGTCATCACACTATGTGTTTGCACAAAGTCCAAAAACCAATCACATTCCAGGCATTTCTTTTGGCTTTGTGTATTGTTCTCTCTCCACCCATCTGCAAGCCTGCTTTACTCTACAACATTCAGACTTACAATTTAAAAATTATAAGGTTCTTTAGAAACTTAGTAATTATTAATAATTTTAGTATCAAAGCAGGTTTTATTGCATGGGGGTGTTTGAAACTAAATGTATTGCATGTATATATGTGTGTGTATAAGCCTCCTTTTAAAAAGAACAGTTTTATAACTGAGCAATCTATTTTTTTAAAAAAGAATTATTGTTACAAAATTCCCCCAGTTGTATATTTGACTTTTTCAAAACCAATAGAGATATATACTTTTAGATTTTTGATTGAGAATTATTCTTTTATTTAACTGCATTGGGATAAGTTTAGTGTATTAATTAGGAAGTTTATACTGTAAGAGAAATTACATATAAATGGATTATTTATTCAAAAATTTGACAGTAAAGTCATAAAGGTATAAATATTTTAGAGAGATTATATCTACCAATTTGTTAATATTTCTAAATCTAACAGTGCATTTATTAGTGCAAGGTGTGACTCATGATTATGGACACTTTATCATAACAGTCATCTATATTGTGGAGAGCTATTTCCTCAGGATAAAAATGTGTATTCCTGTCAAGTTAGTTTTACAACGTGAATGACATTTGTTTTTGTGGAAGTTTTTCTTGAGTCTGAGTTTTTCCTGATGCAGAACAAGATACATGTGAGACGTGGCTGAAGAGGAGTTAATTACCAACAGTGTACTATGACTGATAAACTGATGAACCTCTAATGGTCCTATGGCATGGGCCCCAAGCATGAGAATTCATTGTAATTGTTGTAATTGCCATTCTTTTGTGTCATTAAAGCACAAATAAAGATCAGATATGCCAATTAAATTAGAAATAAAACATAGTAGGGTTGTTTCTAAGATTAAAATCTCATCTAATTAGCGTGAGGAAAAATTAGAACTGAAACATTGAAGAATTTCTTACTATTTTTAGAGCTAGAAGAATACTGCTAACGTCTCATTTAGAATTATTTGGCTGTCATAGCTGTTACATATTTCAAAAACCTTCTTTGCAAAGAATCTGGTTAGTCCACAGATTCATGAGAATGCTAAGTACATTCTGAGAAAGAATGAAAAATTGTTCATTATAATTGGAAAACTTCTGAAGTAGGGTTTGTCCTTGCCCACTCATGCTCTTCTTCTAATTCATTGCCAGAAATAATAACAAACACTTCAACAAATTTATAGTTCATTATTCTAGTATAGCACCAAATGACATGAATTTAAACATGAATGAAGGGCAAGGACAATCTAAGGTATTATATTTAGGTCCTGTCTACCACGTTAAAATATTAGTTCTAAAATATTTAAGTGATTTATACAAATAAATATAAATAAATATATAAATAAAATTAAATCTATCTATCTTACATAAAGCTGCTGTATGATATGAAAATGGTTGGGGAAATTGTTCTGTTGATTTGGGAAAAATCATGTTGAAGTCTTTAATTAATGATTGTTGACTTTTTACTTTCTATTTTCATCAGTGTAACTTTTTTATCACAAAAAATTCTCTTCCATTAGGATCTTTGAACTTTGCATATTATTGTATCTCAGATTAATATTGTTCAGCCTATAGCGATTTGATAAACATTTGCTTTATTGCTTCCTATTCTTTTATTTTCAATATTTTTATTGTATTTGTCTTCCTTGTGTTTTTGCTTTCATCTGATGATTTGGAAATTTTATATCTTATTTTATTCTTATTTCCCTTTTGATTACAGTACAGTTTTGTATCAAAATCTAAACTTCATCACTTACTACAACCTCTTCTCAAATAAGGCCAGAATTTTATCATGCTTTCATTTGACTCCTTTTCACTTTACCCTTGCCAACACCCATGTCTAGATCTGGCTTTTTAGTATCAGTTTAGTGTCATACATCTACGTTTAGTTAGTTGGTACTAAACGTAAGTTGTACTTGTTTCTTTGCTTACCATTTTTCTTTGTATTCCAAGTCATCTTCTTTCTTGACTATTTTTGTTTATTTTCTTTTGCTCTAGAAATACTTTCAGAGAGCCCTCACTGTTATTTTCCCCTTCACATTTCCATATCCTTTGATTCAAAAGTTGGAATGTCCAGGACCCCTCCCTATATCTAATTATAATCAACATTCTTATGGCTTAAGTTTTTTTTCTAAATAAACTCAATGTCAAAACTCATGAGTATGCCTGAAGATCAACTGAATATATTCAAATGTAAATCATAATTAAGAATCTTCCTTAAAACAAGTTGACTTTGTAAATCAGAAGAAAGAACGCTGGGCTAAAAAGATAGAAAACATCATTCTGGAGCTCAATCTACTAGTCAGTTCTGTGATGTTAAGAAAATCACTAGATTTTTATCGATCTGAATTTTTTTGCCTGGAAAATGAGTGTTTCCAACTTTATATCCTTTAATGTTCTTTATGAATCTGAATTAGAATGTAGTATATTCAGGCAAGATGCTATAGTGCATTAAAATATTACTTTATATGGATGTCTATGACTGGCCCAGATCTAGTTTAATATTTCTATTATTTTTAGCTTAAATTCTGAAGAGCACAATAATGAAGGATAAAGAAGATACTGTGGTACTTAACATATTTACATAATACAGATATGTGGATAAGTATCCAAAAGTTTATGGATAATATTGGTTCTAAACAACATTTTATTATCCTTAAATATATCAGGGAAGTCAACTGAAGTATATATTAAATGTCTACTTTTTACATATAGTAAAATATCAGGCTTTTACTAAAAATGAAGCAAAAGTAAATCTTAAATATTTAATAAAGTAGAAGCAAAAATAATTGCATTGAGTCTTTCACTGTTAAGCCAAATTTGCAATCCTTACTTTTTTTTCCTTCAAAATGGCAAAAGGCATTGTGCTCAATTAAAAAACAGAGAGAGAGAGAGAGAGAGAGAAAAAAAAACAGACAGAAAGAAATTTTATTTACCAGAGAATACTTGTTGATCTGCAGATAGCGCTCAAGTAAAATCACTCATCATCAGGATTAGTTCTAACAGCATCTGCAGAAACCAAAGGAAAGGATGATGTGACAGCTCTTTTGAAAACATCCATCAGTGTCATCTGATTCCTCTTATTATGTCTTTCCTTTGCAAATATTTCCTTCAGCCTGTACATCTGGAGGATCTCCTGTTCTGCAGTAAATTATCTTGGTTTCATGAAATCTATGCAATTTTTACAACACTCTCAATTGTCATTAAAATAGACAACACCCTGTCTGGGTCACACAGATTGGGCCACTGAGTGAATACTTACCATTCATTTATAGCCCTTTTGATAATGAAGAATGCCACTACCGTAAGAGTTTCAGTTTATTTCAAATAGTTAATACATCATATAGTTTACAAATCAAAATGACATTTAAAAAAAGTCGTGTTCCCACCCCTCTCCATACCTGTTTTGTTCCTCATCTATCTTTCTGGTTCCCTATAACAAATGTTTCAGTTCTGCACTTTTATAATTAATTTTTCAATTATTATAATGCTTTTGTTATTTTTAATAGATAACAATTTTTAAAATATTTATTAAAACCCAATATTTGGATACTTCTAATCTTTAGAATCCTGAAAATAAACTCCTACTGTCACTATTTATAGGCTGAAATAAAATAACTGGTCTCGATTCCCAAGTATTATAGAGAAATATCAAACATGAGTCTGGCTTTGTTTATAATCTACAGTTTAAATAGAAATGTACCAATGGAAACTAAATATATCAGCATAAAACTTTCGTCACAATTGGCCAGATTCTTTTAAAGGAAAATGGTAAGTGTTTGGGTTCATTTACACTGATTTGCTTGCATTGGCTTCAGAAGAATAAAGGTAAAAAAATATGTGCTGGTAAGAATGAACTGTAAGAAAATATAACTAGTTCAAAAAGTATTCATTATGTGGAAAAAAAGTCTCAGGAACAGAAATATGGTAACCACAAGTATGTGAGCTTATAAAAAAGCTAGTAAAAAGGAGAAGGTACTATATCACTAAATCAAGTCAAGGTCTGACCACTAAGATGTACTGCTTGCTCTATACATAGAAACAGGGAGAAAATGGTTCAAGATGAACAATCTAATCTCCTTAGGCTACTTGAAGCAATATAACACCAGAAATATTTCAAAATGAAGTCATAATACAGATAGTCGAAGTTTGGTCTCATCTAGATTAAACAGAATTGATTACCACATATGCTTTAAAATACACTTACTTAACATGGGTCTTTGAAAGCAAGTAAATTCAGAATGAACGTTTAACTTCTTCAACTTAATCTTCAACCTTTCTCTGTGTTTCTGTGTAGTTTATAATACAAATCTTCCTCTTAAACCAGAGCATAATTTCTTCAAAGTCTGTAAAAGCAGATTTCCAAATAGCAGGAACAGAATCAACTCTGCTCTGTTGACAGCCTTAATTGAATATGCTCAACAGGATTAAAAAAATTAAAAGTATAATTTCATACACCTTGAAGGGATGTTTTAAATTAAATTATATAAACCAAAGGAGAGAAAATAATCAGCCTCATCATACATGAGGAATTATTTTCATCAGTGCCCATCATGTCATATGATTTATTACTTAGTATTTAGAAAATTTTCTTTTTATCAAAGTCCATTACTAAATAGACTACATAAAAGATGGTAAGATTTGTCTCCTTGCCATAGAAGTTAGTTTAGAATATACATTTAAATTAAAAAAAAAAACAACACAAAAAACAGATGGGGTTTATTTTACACTACATCGTTGTGGAAGGGAATGAGTAGACATGAAATGAAGGAGAAAATATCTCCTCCCTTTGTGCTGTCATGGCTGGGGTTCAACATTTCACAGAGTTCAATATTCATAGGGCTAGGATGCTAATTCCATTTGAGATGTGCTTCTCCTCAAGATAGGAGATGAGATTTTCTTTTTTCATGGCTTATTTTTAATGTTTTTAAAGTTTTATAAACCTAGTCAATGTGTGCATTAAAAAAAATATTAAATTGTTTACAATAAAATATAGCAATCTCCTGCCCTTCCTGTCCTTACTTTCTAGTCTTAGTCCTCAAAGGCAATTGCCTTCAACAATATGTTTGGTCAGAGTTGATAAATGCACTTTAGAATATATTGAATTTGTCTAAATAGAAGTGTTCCAAAAATAGTTGGATGTACAGATTTGACATCTAGGAGAGAGACCTTGGATAAACATACTTCTTTGGGAATTCGCTATTTATAGGTGGTATATGAAGCTCTGAAAATAATATCTATCTCGGAGGTTGCTTTTTCAAATATGTGTAGGAGAGCCCTTCACAAAATGTGATATAATGTAGAGTCTTAAAGAATAAATAAGTTTAAGTTTGGCACTAGGAAGCTTAGTAGTGTGAAAATTAATAAACTGAAACCTCATTTAAAATGGAATGAGAAGACTAGAAGATACAAGTCTCAGTCACATGTCACTCAACGGCATATTACTGAACCCAACAGGAAGAGAGAAACCTTGCATCTCAGATAGTGATACTAAGTTACTACCTGAATAGGAGGAAGAAAAGACTCCTCCTTGCCCAGTGATAGCTTAGCCAATGGGAGTCTGCCAAAACTCAGCCAATAAAAAGTCACTATACTTTGAACTTTCAGTTTCCTTCAATGGACTCTTTGTTTACAATAGCTCCTCCCGAGTCCAGGAAAGAGCGTTCCTATTTTTGTTTCTCTGGACTTGTGCATGATTCCTAATTAAACCTGCCCCTAATTGCATTTTTTGTTTGTTTTTCCTGAATAAACTCATTTTGTTGGAGAAATATCTGGCCGTCTATTTGTTTAAGGTCCACAATAGTAATAACCTTGGCAGGCTATTGTACATCTTGAATGCAAAGAGCCAGACACAATATTGACAGATGAGGCACCAAACTGAGTAAAACAGATCAAAAAAGAGCAGAAAGAAAGGGATGGAGGAGGAAAAATAAGAACCCAATCTTAGGTTTTCTGAAGGCCAATCCCAGACTCCGTATCCTGCAACAGTTCAGAAGTTGGAAAGAAGAATTTTGGGGTAATGGTTACATACAGAACTTTGCATAGAATGCTTCATAGAATTTTCCATGGAGATGCACATAATTAAATAGAATATTCTTACACGAAAAATTGGGCAGTGAGTAAAATTCGTCTTTGCATCGTTCATCCATAAATGCGTTTTATCGTTATATTATGATTTCCCATAATTCTCTACTTCGGTTCTCTGTTCAGATTAATTCCTGAGGACCATGTTTCCTTCTTCACAGGACTTATTCTTCACTTACATTAAAACTCACTTGAAATTCTACTACTATTCATGAAAGATTAATTGCTATGGGAATAATCTTTCTGCCAAAAATGTTTGTAAAATTGAACAAAATATTAAACCTATTTGATACATTGGACAATGGTGTACAACTATGATCTCTGAGATTAGGAAAATAAGTGAGGCGATCCTAAGTTTTCTCCAATTTATACTGGGTGGGAGCAGTCTGCAGATCACAGTGCATCAAGAAAAAATTCAAATGGGGCTTTGCTGAGTTGAAGACAGAAGTTAGACCTAGAGAAGTTGGCTAAATTTTGCAAGGCAGAATATCCAAAAAAAGGGGTTATACACAGACACTGAGTTTTAGGAGTTCACAAAAGTGACTCAGCCTTTAATTGAATAGAAATCTAGAAGTAAAATTTTATGAAATACCAACTAAGAAAACATCAACTAAAACATAATAGCTTGAGAATTCTCTGGAGCTCACCTACGTCTGGGAAGAATTTGTGTTTCCCATCAGCCAGCAGATAAACTTTCTGGTACATGCAGCATTGGGTAGAGTGCTCAGAAGAACCATATCTATACAGTAGCCCTAGAGTAAAGGTTGCTATAAAACTTAAAGAAACAAAATGAAAACACATACATTTGAAAGCATCGAACTTATTCTAGATAAATGCATGCCAGAAAAAAAGTTCAAAACTATTTAAAGAAAAATATCACCATTCAAAAACCACACAATTTAGAATTTCTTGCATCTGATAAAAAATAACCAGCACGCAAAAGTGCAGGACCGTATGATTCACAGACAGTTAAAAAAAAAATCAATAGAATCAGACCCAGATATCACAGAAATAATGAAAAAATCAGGAGGAAAAAAATGCCCTAAGTGTCTAATATAAACCTCATAAATAGATTTAAGGATGTTAAGAACACCTAATAAGAAATGGAACACATAAAAATAAAACCTTTAGAAGTTATAGAGATTAAAATTATAATACCTGAGTGAAAAAAATCATTGGATACAATTTATTGCAGATTAGAAATTACAGAAGAAAACATTAATGGACTTGAAGGCATACAAATGGACACTAAATAAAGCCCAAAGAGAGAAAAAAATGAAAACAAAGTTTGGTTTATCAGGGACTTGTGAAATAATATATATATATATAAATATAAATGAAATTGGATCCTGGGAGATATTTGAAGAAAGAATGGTTAAAATATTTCAAATTTTAAAAATTGTCGCATTCTATTTTTTATTTTTACTTATTTATTTTTTAAATGCCTACAGCACCTGGTATTCCTAAGTGGTCTCCACCCAAGTACTAACCAGGCCCGACCCTACTTAGCTTCCGAGATCAGACAAGATTGGGCATGTTCAGGATGGCATGGTTGTAGACAAAATTGTCACATTCTAAAAGATCACTTAAGCTGAATATTTAAAAACAAAACCACACCATGACACATTATAATCAAATTGCTGAAAGCCAATGATTAAAAATAAAAAGTCAGAGAAATGGCTCACACATAAAGAATCAGATATAAAGAGAACATTTTTAAAGGTGAGGGAATGGTTCTCTATCTTGATTACACAATAATGCATTTTTCAAATCTCATCAAACTATAAACTGAGTGAAATAATCTTATGCAAATTGTCCTTCCATAAAGATGGTTATTTAAAAATTTTTGCTTGATCTGTATTCTATTCTTTATCTACTTGACAAGTTATAATTGTATAATGGGCTAATTAAAAATAAATAAACTT